TAATAAAAAACAACCCATTTCTCTTACCTACAACCTTCACTGTTATAGTCTTCGTTAGATATTGGTTCCCAGCCATCAAGTGTAACTTATAATCTCCTGTTATGAGTGAGGGGTGTGAAGGGTTTTGAGGACATAGCCTTACAGTCCTGAAAAAACAGTGTTATATCCCACAGCTTTATATGAAACCATCCAAAAGTTTTTAAGAATGTACGCAGTAGCATATGATTATATTTGCCAATACTAGTTGTCTGTTAATGCTCTTGAAAAGACATTAGTGTTTTGTATGTTTCTACACTCTGACAGCATTTGGTAACATTTTTAGAAGTTCATACAGAAAGCTGAGCTCTGGAAGCATCAATTCATGGGACTACCTGTGTTTCGTAACAAACGTTTCCCTCGTGCATTTAATTCTCATGTTATCGGGAGTCTCCCAGGAACAGTAGTGGAGCACAGGGTGGTAAGAAACACTGGCTTGCAGACAAGTACTCGATGCCTTCTGAGCTGGTATGATCTTGCTCTTATTCAACTGGGCATCGAGGGAAGCGTTATCTGCAACACAAGAATAAATTCAGTTCATGTGCAATTGGTACAAACAGACCTAAGTATTAGAGAGAATAAGAATCATTCAGGATTATTTATTGCAATTAGTATAAATACAAAAAAGCAACTCTACTAACCCTGGATACGAACGTCAACAGCCTTAGCTATCTTTCCCCCTCCTGTGCAGGTGTACATGCCCCTGTGCTCCTCACTAACTGATCTGATGAACACGTAGGCCATACGAGTTGACAAATGCCTATCACTTTTAATACAGAGCTGGAAGAAAAATATATATTTCTTATGATTTTGACAAACACTAATGGAAAGAACTCAATTCTGTTCATTGAAATTTTAAAGAAAATCTCAGTTGTCTCAGTATCAGATTATTGTACCTCTTTGTTATCTTTAGAAGAACATGCTAATTTTCTGGCATCCAGTGTTTCGTTGTCCTTCTTCCACACAGGCTTAGGATTCCTACTTCGGCAGCGTAGCAGCAAAGACTGCTTGGAGCTCACAGTCACATTAAAATCCTCCTCATTTTTCTCTGGATCACGGTCCAGGTCTGAGATGGACAAAAGAGCATCAAGTCACAGAACAGATTTGATAGTCAGTTTTTTAAAACTGTACTCTATTTAAATGTTTTCTATTTAAATGAAATTAACTAGAGATAGTCCCCGGGCTGCAAACTGGATTTGTCCCTAACATCTTTAGATGGTTGAGGTCCAGAACTGAACAAATTACCTGGCATCTACAATCACTTATTGCAGATAAATCTTTTGTAGATTATTTTTGAGTAATTTGTTGAGCTCTTTAGTTACCGTAGTCATACAGTTGGGTGCACTCTTGTCCTTCTTCATTAGTAGCACAGCACATCACTCCTTTGTTATGATAGTCAGCACTCGATACTGAACTCCCTGTCCTTGTCCTGTCACAGAAGAAACATCATTATTCAGAAAATCACACTATAGTGGATGTTTTCTTGAGGTGTCAGTAGACCACATTGCTATCAGTTTAACATACTCTGAAT